TTTTTTTTTTTTTTTGTTTGGTGTAGTTTAGCTGGGGCTGGGTTTGAACCCACCACCCTAGGTATATGGGGTGGTGCCCTACCCACTAAGCTATAGGTGCCGCCCACAGGTTTTTATGTTTTTAATGTCAGACTTGTAAGGAAAAGACCAGGGCTGAAGGCAACTGGGAGCAAGAGCCAAGACACCTCCCACAGGGATGGGAGTCATGGCACCCACCGGGCTGTGTGCAATGGCAACCTGCATCTGCATGTCAGGCAGTTTCATCTTTGATTACCAGTAATAGGGCCAAATATAGGATCAAAACTCATATCCCAGAATTACTTAGAAATGGAGTTTCAATAATATTCTACTCACTTACCCTGCCACATAAAAATCCTATTTGGCACTCCCTACGGCTAAGCATTTGGTTCCTGCCCGCAAAACCCCTATACTCTCCCTGTGTAAACCTCTAATGAAAATAACACAAGTCAAACTGAAATGACTGTTGTAACAGGTAGAAAAAGAGTGCTTCAGGGACATAGTGGAAAAACATCATGGTGGGAATACTGAATGACGATCAAAGGAAAATCCAGAGAAGTTAGTTCTAGGCCACAGGAAGAAAAGCAAATGGCAGGCATTAAAGTGCAAGGTATACCTGGGAACAGTTGCTGGAGCCCTCACTGCATGAGGCCTGGGAACAATGAGCTAAGCCAGGTTGCAAAACCCTGGGTGCCACACCAGACTAAAGCTTTATTCTAGTGGCAACATGGACCACCTAACCTTGACGGCAATACCCCCTGAGCTGTGATTGAGGAAGAGAGCTCTGGAAAAGTGATGGGAGGTGGGCACACCTGTGCCAGAAGGAAGCTATTAAAGAGCAGGTTCTTGAGGAAGGAACTCTGCCCGGGCAGTGGTGAGAGGGGCAGGGAGGACTAGACAGCATAGGAGACCCTGTGGGGTAAAGGGAAGGGACATTGCTAACTGGACTGGCAAGTAGAGAGGAAGAAACTGTGAAAGAGGACTCTGCTCATTCATACAGAATCCAAAAGGAGCAGAGGAGTGAAGTGAGGAAAAATAGTACACTTGGGGAAGGATAAATTTGATGTTGAGGCTCGGCGCCTGTGGCTCAAGTGGCTAAGGCACCAGCCACATACACCTAAGGTGGTGGGTTGGAATCTAGCCTAGGCCCGCCAAACAACAATGACAGCTGCAACCAAAAAAAATAGCCGGGCGTTGTGGTGGGCACCTGTGGTCCCAGCTACTTGGGAGGCTGAGGCAGGAGACTAGTTTGAGCCCAGGAGTGGGAGGTTGCTGTGAGCTGTGATGCCATGGCACTCTACCCAGGGGGACAGCTTGAGGCTCTGTCTCAAAAAAAAAAAAAAAAATTTGATGTTGAACATGATCCTCAAATGCAAAATCACAGTCTTGAAAGGGCTGTGCTTCCATTCATTGCAGTGAGCATCCCCATTGTAGACTTCTAAAACAACAATGAAGTACCTCAAGTAAGCACAGATATGTAGTCTAGGTAGCATTAATGGTAGGTAGCCAGGTGACTATAATACCTACTCAGTGCATGACATCTGATGACAGTCTGCCATGAACCATCATACTCTGGGTCCTGGGCAGACAGTACACACCTGAACTCAAAATCTGGACTTTCTAGTTGAAATATGTAATGATTTTAAAAAAGCCGCTCTTGGCTTGTTGTCTATAGCTTAGCAGCTAGGGCGCCAGCCATATACACTGGAGCTGGGTGGGTTTGAACCCAGCCTGGGCCTGCCAAACAACAATGACAACTACAACAACAAAAAATAGCCGGGCACTGTGGTGGGCACCTGCAGTCCCAGCTACTTGGGAGACTAAGGCAAGAGAATCGCTTAAGCCCAAGAGTTAGTGGTTGCTGTGAGCTGTGATGCCACAGTACTCTACTGAGGGTGACATAGTGAGACTCTGTCTCAAGAAAAAAAAAGCCTCAACTGAATTTTGAGGGCGTATGAGGATCTAGGACTCAGGATGACTCTGTTCCTGCCTCCTTTCACTCCTATATTGAGAGTGAATCGCACTGCTGCCAGTTTCTCCTCTAGAAAGAATGGCCACCTCTCTAAGGAAGGCAAAATGCACACTTCAGAGACCTGTCCAGTGCTGGCCAATTAGTCTGTGTCAGGAGAACTGGTCTGAACCAGGAGGGCAACATGAGCTGTGCTGGAAACAAGAGGTGGGAGGCCCAGGAGAACTGGCTCCAGCTGTGTGGAACCTGACATGATGCCATTCACGCTGTACAATGCTCCCCTTGGAGGGGCTGGGGCCAGGAAATAGCTCTGCTTCACCCAAGGTGTGCAAATGAGCACAGCCTCCCACAGTGCTTAAGATTTAAGAGTGGGGAGAACATACCATGCCCTGGTCTTTTTATTCCCCCAAAAGAAACTAGCAGTATCTCCTAATTAGTCTGGGGTTGCTAGAGAAAGGCTCAAGACCAATAGGGACTCTGTACTCTGAACAAATGAGGCTTCGCAGGGTCATCCAGCACCAATGTCAGGCTGCTCTCAGCCTCAGTTTCACCTTGTCAGTTAATGTCAGTAACTGGGTAGAGAGAACAAAGGCTCTCAAAAAGCTAGAAGATAACCAGTAGGTCTAAAGGATAATCAAAATTGCCCTGGGAAAATCCCTAGCTTTGGAACAGAGCGTGTGTGTGTGTGTGTGTGTGTGTGTGTGTGTGTGTGTGTGTGTGTG